GAGAGAGAGAGAGGAGGGGGGGGGTTTCTTCTCTTTCCCTCCCCCTCCTCTCTCTCTCTCTCTCTCCGAGATGGGCGCTGGCGGCGTTTGTTACGGATATGATAACCCGACTCGACTCTTCGTTCCCATCTATATCCAAGTTTTTTGTGTGGTTTAGTAGGATTGCGAATTCTATTTTCATTTTTTGAAGCTTGCTTTCTGGTCGTTGTGTATAGATACTTGAAGTGAGTATGAGGTGGTTGGGCAGTATGCTTGTATAACGAGTATATATATACGGTGTTATTACATCGCGTTATGCCCGCATCTTAACACGTAATTTCTTTACAAGAGGAGATAGCCCAGAGCCCCTATCGCAGCCATTAGGCATGCTAGACCCCCGACGAGGAGTTGCTGGGCGGCACTCTCATCTACAGGGCAACTAACTTGTGGTGTCGGAAATCGTCCAGCCTCAACCAGCATCTGGTACTGATCAGAGCAGAGACTTGCCGTCAAGGCCACCGCCATACTTGTCGCGCTTGCAGCGTCAATCTTGACCTGGCAAGGAGTCGGGGTCACGGTTGAATTGTCCAAGACTGCACACTGCTCACCACGGCCGTAGTCACCTCCCGTAATCCTCTTAGTGCCCGTGATGTTGAAAGCCATCCCCTGATCCCCAGGGCAACTCTGGTCATTTGTGGCATCAACAAGATTGACATCCTGCGCAGCCTTCTTGGTAGTAAAAATAAGCGGCAAGCTCTCCACATGGCCAGACAGGCTTCTTTCTCTCGCGTAGTCATCATAGGTACAGTTATCCCAGTACACGGTCCAGAATAAGATCCATTTGCCTTCGGTGTTGAGTCCCTCGTAGTGGCGGTACAAGTACTCCGGGCCGTTGTTGGACGTATCTGTCCAGTTGAGATATTCGTTGTTGTAAGCGTCGCTGAAGCTGCCTTGATCGATGATGGATCCATTGGTTGCGTTGTGGACTTGGAACTTAATCTGCATTCTGAGTAATGAGGCAAGGTGTGGGTGTTGAACGGCAAAGACGATGGGGAAATAGGGCCCTGGCGCGTATGTGTCGTTGCGTGGAAAGACTAGGTCCACTTCCACAACGCCTGAGGTATCGCTGGCAGCCGCATCAACAGCTCCAAGCAAGGAAACGAACAACCAGGTGATGCAATTAAAAACCCGCATTCTGGGGGCGAGGAACGACCGGAAGGCTGCCGGGAAAATGAAATTGAAGAAGAAATCGTAGCAAAAGCCCGTTAAGTAATTCAGCAAAGTTGAGAAGCCACAGTACAAAGGACGAAACTCGCCCAGGGGAACGACATTTGTACTAGGTATTGGAAGGATCAACGGATGCTAGGAACAAACCTGAACAAAGCTCTATACCTGATAGAACGATAGACGTGCGGTCGGGTACAATAGTCCAAGTTTGGGACAGGATTGGATGTAGCTCGCCAGGGGCAAGGACCTACTTAGGTGCGGCACGGGTTCCAAAAGGGTAGGCTAGCGGGGGTTGATGCCGTGAGAGCCGCGTCGCCACATTCTTTTGGTCATCGCACTGGAGCCTAAGGTTCTTTTCGCGGGTAATTTTGGTTATGTACGTTGGGGGTTTGGATAGTCGGTAATGATGGGTTGCCAAGTTCCCGAGGTTGTGTGAAGTGGCATCATGGTGGTTGTTAGATGCCTAGATGATTCTTGGCATAATCACATATTGCCTTGCTTCCTATAGTGGTTAGCTTCTGAGATTATTCCAAGGTTAGGTAGCTTATGCATACATCCGGCATCGATTGCAATGGCCGTCTTTGTGCTGAGTAACCTTTATCAGCGAGGAAGTATTCGGCAGCTCTATTGTGGTGATTGGGACCAACACTTCCTTTATGCTTTCCTTAATCACCCCTTTTTTTCAAGTCTGAAGATATAGCGATACAGCATGCCGCGGTACGAAGTAGAGTGTCTGAGTTCTCTGCTTTTCATCACTTTAGTCGCACCGTATAATTGAATGTGGAAGATGATTGTTTCTGTCGTTTTGAACCGCGTAAGACGTTCCAATATCCGCTTCCTTGATACTCATTCCTAGAATTGAGTGCACTCCTCGCAATGCCATTCATTATGGTAATTCACAGCCCCGCAGTCCTTACAGATCCAGCCTTGATTTGACGTGATGTAGATTGTCGCTTCGCAGTTTTGTTGACTCAAGTATTGTTCGTTGTTGGGTTCAATGCGGACTCGTTGCTGGGGGTAGGCTTGATGCGACAGTGGGGAAATTTATGTGTGCGTTTTGATTTACTATAACACAGTCCGCATTCGGAGTAATGGCAAGAGACTGCCTAGGTAGGGGTTAAATACGTAGCGTTTTGTGGAGTCGTTGTTCATGCGTCAGTAGCAGATATCGCCGCGGGACTTTTATATTAATTCGTTTCCAACATCGAAGGTTTGCTAGTCCTTCCAGGAAGAGAACATTCCAAACCTGCGAAGCCATCTTCACACTACAATTTCAATTTGTAACTTGGATGATCGGACATAGACTAGATCCTCCCATGAATCACGTACCAGTAGTTCAAATCCCTACTCTGACTCCTTGAATCCCTCATACTATCGTAGGTGATAAATAGATCCCAAATGCATGATCCAAAACCTGTACCGCTATAATCTCCGTCATTCCTCTGATATACACCACCTGGCTCGTCAGAACACCCTAAATTGAAATGTCCACAGACGCGCGTCTAGCAGCTCTCGAGGCTCTCGTCCGTGAGAACCAAGAAAAGGTAGAGGAACTAGGCCATACGAACTGGCTACTCAGTAACCAAAACATCAAGATGCAAGAAGAACTCGCCAAGTTGGAAGAAAAGTTACGTACCGAGTATCCCGACTTCGATACTAGGCGTGTCATCCATTCAAGCTTTCAGACCAATCCCTCGCCACCTCTCCATGATCCATCCGTCGCTAGAGATGTCTCTCACGCTCGCCCACAGCTACTTCAGCGTCCACCACCGGGACCGTTATGGACACCATTCTACCTAACCGCCCGCGACGCCCCACGACTATATCTAGAGTTTGTGATACCAGGTTCCAAAGGCGAGACATTGGAGTTAGCCGTAAACAACATAGATCTGGCCTTTATATTACAGCAGACATTGCGACGGAGAGGGTGTGGCGAAGCGACGACGAAGAGGGGTGTCGAGGATTTCCTAGAGCAGCCGATGATGAAAGTAACGTGGACGGGCAGAGAGGGAGAGTTTGGGAATCTGACCTAGTCCCGCGAAGAGGTTGAGTTGTAATATATCTTGATATGAGAACTGGAGTCTATGAAGAAGGAGTATTTGGTATCTCAACGCCGACCTATGCATATTAGAACCCCGACGTTTAGTCGTCTTTGTGCTTTTCGTCAAAAGCGAGCATGAGGCCCATGGCCCGCTCGTATGTCCACATTGTAACAGCGCTGGCCGGCGCAGCTTTCAGAAGACTGACCGTCAACCCACGGTACATGCCTCGTCTACCTTCATGCTTCCATATATGCGCAATAGTGCTGATGACGCCGGTATATGTCGGTATGTTCCGATGAACGTATCGCTCGCGCATCGGCCCTTGGACTTGTAGTCGCTTGCGCGTGGTATCGAGCGGGTAGACGGCTGTCTTGGAGAGAACGCTCGCGATGACACCGGCGACGGCATCTGAGCTTCCGAGTGGCAGTGGTACGGGAGAAGAGGCGGTTATGGGCTTCAAGCTTTCGTAGCTAGCGAAGAAGAGGCCCATGTACGGCACAATCTGGCTCACGCCTGCGCCGAGGCCGCGAAAGAAGCCCCTGGGTCCTTCATGCTGCGCGATGTGCTTGACAGACGCGATGATGGAGGTATAGACGCGATCTTTGCCTTGCGCAGCGAACCGCGTGCGAAGAAGATCGAGCGGGTATGTCGCCGTCGTCGCAGCAGCACCCGCGCTGGCTCCGCTGAGGAAATTGGCGACTGAGCTAGGAAGCGTATATGGCGGCGGAATCGTCTCTAGCCAATGCGATATGTACGTGTAGGCAGAGAACTGGGCGCTACCGTACGTCAAGTACATGAGCTCCGCCGGTATGTTGCCCTTCCATAGCCCCGTGACACCCTCTTCGCGAAGAATCTGTTTGAGGGTGCCCAATGTTCCTTTGTAGACGGGCCCTTGGACATTGCGAACGCTGAACGGGTCGGAGAGCGAGTGGATTTGGAGTTGCAGACGGATCTTTATGACGTCGAGGGGAGCTATCACGAAGCTGTCGCAGTGTCAGCCATGTGCGCGAACATGGGGGATTGAACGTACCGCGACACCAGGCCTGCCACCGCACCTGCGACGACAACCTGTCGCTGGGAGCCCTGTCAGTCATATTAGCCCTGCCTCTGCCAGCATATTGTGTCGGTAAACAGTGAAGATAGACAAGCTCCTACCTCATGCTTCAGCTGTGCGACACCCTCAGACATGCGCCCAGCGCGTCGATTGGGACACGTGCTATTTTCGCGCGCCTTATTAGCTACCCACCGCCGATACTCGGTAGGACACCTGTGATTGCAAACGTGCCGGGCAAAGGGTAGTAGAGACCTCGGTTTACGGGTTGATTGTTTCCACCACGCTCGCTCCCTGGCGTTGAAAAGCAAGGAACCCCGCCGTGTCCCGTCACTGCCAACAGCTGCGGCCGACCATGTCTTTCACCATCACCACCAGAATACCGCTACGGAGTCTGAGATCGCAAGTCGCCACTTCTCGCAGGACTACGCTTGCTGTTCAGAGACGGTGTTTCTTCTTCAACTCGTTCTGGCGATCACCTAAGCCGGCCGAGCATGCTGATTGGAGCCCCGCTACACATGGCCCTTTTCGGCCAACCAAACGCCAGGAACAGCTGCAGCAGCAACAGGAGCAAGAGCTGAGACAATCGAAAGAGCAGGAACTTCTCGTTCATGATGAATCCAACATCGGCCAGCTTGACGGTAGCCCAGCGAAGAGGATCGCTGTGAACATCGATGGAGAGCCCAAGATCTTCGACGCTGCGTTCCTTCGTGACAGCTGCACGTGTACGCAATGCATGGACCCTGACAGCAAAAACAAGCGCTTCCAGACGTCAGATATACCCGAAGATCTAGAAGGTAGCTGCAAGACAGTAGTTGATGAAGAGAAGGGAGTCTCTATCGAGCTTCAATGGAAGACAGACGTCAAAGGCTTCGGTCCGGAGCACCGCACACGGCATTCCATCGACTGGCTACGCCGCGCATTCAACACAGAGATTGAGCTACGTGGCGGAGTGCGACACGATGACAGAGTGTTCTGGGACAAGAACAGGATCGTGAAAGACAACAAATGGCTCGACTACGACACCTACATGTCCAAAGACGAAACCCTCTTCGAAGCCCTCACCCATCTGAACCGCTACGGCCTCCTCTTCATCAAAAACGTGCCCGAATCCGAGGAATCCGTCGTAGCCCTTGCCTCCCGTATCGGTACCCTCAAAGACACTTTCTATGGCCGAACATGGGACGTCCGCTCAAAACCCAAAGCCGAAAACATAGCCTACACGCCCGACTACCTCGGTCTCCACATGGACTTGCTATACACATCCAACCCCCCGCATCTGCAACTCTTGCACTCTCTCCGAGCCCGCACACCAGGTGGCGAATCTTTCTTCTCAGACTCCTTCGCTGCAGCACATCAACTCCGGCGGCAATCCGAGGGCCACTTCAGAACGTTGTGTACATTTCCCGTGACCTACCACTACCACCATCCCACCTACCATTACCACTTCACCCGGCCAGTGATTGAGACCTTCGCCTACCCTAATTACAGCGACCCCGCCAAGGTCGCCATCCGCCGCATAAACTGGTCTCCACCTTTCCAGGGCCCGTTCGAAGCGCGAATTGGCAGCGGCAACTCGACGTCCCTTCGCTCCTTCATTGCTGCTTCGCATGCGTACGAGAAGCTGCTTAGTGCGGAGGAGAATTTGTATGAGTATAGGTTGAATGAGGGGGAGTGTGTCATCT